ACCCACGCCCGCCTTCCCCTTCGCAGGACTTTCTGCAGGGAGACTGCTCCAAAGCCCGGCAGAAGCTGAACTGGAAGCCGCGGGTGGCCTTTGACGTGAGTGTCCCTCCCCGGGCCGCGGGCGGGCGGGTGCGGGCGGGCGGGGGCGCCGCGGGCAGCTGTCACCTGGGAGGTGGCACAGCCCCGCCCATCGCCACCCTGTCCGCCGCAGGAGCTGGTGCGGGAGATGGTGCAGGCCGACGTGGAGCTCATGAGGACCAACCCCACCGCCTGAGCGCCGTCCCGGGCTGGCTGAGCCGCGCCGCCGAGGTTTTGTAGCAGCCGGGACTGGGCGCGCAGGCTTCGCCTTCACGTTCGCCCCTGTCAGAGGAAGCCTCCTCCGAATGGTGTTGTGGAATCAAGATGTTTCAATCACATACTCGCTTTACTTGAAATTATGTCACTTGGACAAATTTGGGGGCCTTCAAATTGTTCTCTTTTCTTATTAAAAGTGATCTTTCTATGACCAGCATTAAGAGTCACTGTCACTGTTTTCACCAAGTTATAAAAGCAGCTACGATGCCCCCCCAAACAGAAACACTAAAGTCCGAGCCTTAGGAGGAGACTGCTCCCTTCTGAGAAAGCCCTGCTGGAAGAGCCCTGAAGGCCGAGCCTCCTCCTCCCAGCTGGAACACTCAGCTGCTCTGGAACCCAGGTCTCTGCGGACTCCTGCTGCAGGCAGTGCCCCCTCTGCTCCCTGCTGGCCTTAGTTACACCCCCTGCACTCCCACCACCCAGAGGCGCCGGAGGGCCGGGCCAGCAGGTGAGTCCCTGTCGCTAGGACTGCGTCCTTCCTCCGGCCCAGGCCTGCCTTCCTTCCACAGTGTTATTCCCAGCCTCCCCGTCAGCCCTACACCACTTCCTAAACTGCTGTATTCGCCCAAGGGTTTCATAGCAAACGTGAGGCCCTCACTGTGCCGCGGTGACTAGGAGCTGTAAGACAGAGCTTAGGGCGCAGTCCCAGCCGCTGGACCCGGCTCACTGCTGAGTGCATCCTTCAGGCGGATGAGGGTGACCAGGCACGCGCCGACAGTGGGCACACGGACAGTAGGTCCTCACACACCAACACACACACGGACGCAGATGCAGAACGCACCAGCAGCCAGCAAGGACTTGTGCACAGGTGTGCACCCTGCACCGACACCATGCGCTGCTGCCCCAGAACCAATTACGTCAGGACTCTTCTTCTCCCCCTCACTCCCCTTCCAAGGAAAATAAAATAAAATTTTATAGCAAATGGCATTCCAGCCTGTGCACATTCGTGTGAGTGCGGGAGCTATCTGAGGCTTCACAGGCAGGTTTATGGTCAGGGAAGGACCAGGGCCTGGCGCTGGCGCAGGAGAGAGGGCTCTTTGTGTGGCCGTGCCAGGCCCTATGCAAGTGGCCAGCCAGGGCAGCCAGGGCGGCCACGGAGCAGTGCTGGGCAGCAGCAGCCGGGCCACCCGCTTCTCAGAAGCCACCCCGGGACGCCGTCCCTGCTCCCAAGCGGTGGCTGCTAATTGGAAGCAGACGTCCCTGGGAGCTGGGCCTCTAGGGCTGGGCAGGCTGGTGGGCACGCACACACACAGACACGGGCGCACGTACAAAGACACCCTCAGCCAGGGTGGCTCACACAGTGTCACCTGAGAGACACTGACAAACACAACCGTCTCAAACAATAGCACTCACACACTCGCACAGATCTCACAAGCCGTCATCTCCTTAGCCTTGAGCCCAGGGACAGGCCCCTCCTTGGCCACCTGCGACCCCGCCCCACACCCAGAAGAGGCCGCTGGGCCCTTCAGCCTCACGGTGCCCACTCCACTGACTGGTCTGTCACCTTTCGCCGAAGCCATACAAGTTCCTTGGGGAAGAGTGGGAGAAATCCTAGGCAGCGGCTTAATGCAACTGTGGCAGTGTGGTAGTGTTAAGCCACGCTTCTCCAAATGGACTAGAACATCAGTCTTTGAAGGAAAAGGTATTTTTAACTGCCACCTTCTCCCTATGTTCGGCCCTCAGTCACAGTGTGTGCTGGGAAGAGAGGGGGCTTCATGGCCTCCCGGGCCCTCTCTAGCATATGCCTGTGTGTTTAAAGCAAGAAAAGGACAGATTCTCCTCAGTACTTTCTTCCTGTGCCGGGGGAGAACTTGTGTGGCCATCCTTGGTGACAACTCTTATTAAATCTCAATTTAAATGTCAGCAGTGGGGGTTTTGCTCCTTCGAGCTTTGCTCTTTTTGCTGCTCTGAAAACCCTGGCTGTTCATTTTCAGTGCTATAAAACATCTCCCACCTTGGTTGTTTGTTTTGTTTTGGTTTTTGTTTTGGTTTGGTTTTGGGTTTTTTTGGTAAAGACTTAGAAAATTGAACCTGTGTACACTCACCTATTACCGGGGAGGAAGGACAAAGTGCAGCCTTGGGCTCACTTTCCGTTCGACCTGACCTGCCAGCAGCCCTGTCTAGGGTGTCTCTGCGTGCCTCTGGTGAGGGAGTTAGGGCAAGCAATAAACCTGTCACACCTCCGCAGCTGCTGAGGGGAGGGGCGTGCGCTGCTGGCCCAGCCAGCGACCTTCAGGGAAGTGCTAAAGTGCCAGGACAGATAAAGTCCCGAGAGATGGCTCCTGGACAGCCTGCGCAGGCCGGATCCGCTGCCAGGTGAGGGGCAGGTTCAGTTTGGGGCTCCATTTTTGTCCCTGTGCCCCGGTATCAACCACCAAACCCCAGTGGGCCGCTGGAGAGTGTGGCCTTCCCTTCATCATGAAAGCGTGCAAAAGGAGGCAACACTTTAAAATTTTATTTTAAAATGAGGTCCCTGATTCACCCCAAAACTCTAAATAAATAAATAATAACTTTGCGTGAATCATGAACATATTTATAAGCCCCCCTCCTCATACTTACACACACACACAGCCTCAGAGCACCCCCAGGCTGCTTCTTCCTACGGTGGGATTTTTAAATTGTAACCTAAGGAGTCCAAGTTCACACAGCGTGTGTTTTCCAGAGCCTGATCAGCAGATGGTTTTTAGCCTCTGCGTCTGTGCGTGTGTCACCCAGACAGATCAGCGTCCTAACGTGCCACTCACATTTCTCCAAAAGCAAGGGCTTTCATCCTCCAGCAGCAGCCACTCCTGGGATGCGGCTGCTCTGGAGCCCCCAGCTGCCCACTCCTGAGGGTCCTTTGGAAAGACACCGGTGCGGCCTGTCCGGCAGTGGCAGCGGCAGCGGGAGGCGCCCAGCAGCTGAGGTCTGGGCCTCCCCTCTCTTTCTTTGCTCCCAGCAAGGCCTGGCGCCTGGCGCAGGCCTGAAGGGACATCGGGGGACAGACCTCCTGGCCTGTGCCGCGCTGGGCTTTGAGGCTGCACCGAACCCCCTCACCACGCAAGGACTTTTCTAAGACCCCCGTTAGGAATGTGACGTCCGTGCTCACCCTGCGCTCAGCTGTGTCCTGAGCCAGGCCTCCTCCATAGCCCGCGGTGTGATCTCAGCAGCCCTTTGATCTCTGAATTCAGGGAGCGAAGAGGTCCAGTGGGTGCGCCCCCAGCTACTCGCTAAGCCTGCGAAGGCCTAAACTGGCCAGGCCCTGACCTCCGTGAAGCCCTGCCTGTCCGGGTTTCCGAGCTTGGGCCTGCAACGTGGGGGCTGCGCCCTGAGCCCGCCCGGGCAGACTAGGGGCCCACTCGCGCGCGCGCGCGCGACACAACAGTGAGCACCTCTGCCTGCCCGGCTCAGTGCGGGGCGCACGTCGGGGAGCAGGAGCCCCGCGCCCCCGACCCCCAGCCCGCAAGTTGGGGAGGCCGAGGAGGACACCCGCCTGTATCGGAGGAGCCCTCATGTCTGCGGCCTGGTCACCAGGGCGCACGCAGGGGCCGCGCTGCCTCCGGGCCCAGACGGAGCAGGCGGGCGTGGGGGAGGCGATGGAACTGGGGCTCCCGACGCCCCGGGCGGAAGCGGCGCGGCCGAGGCCGGGCTTGAGCGCGGGCGCGGAATGTATATTTGGACGGGGTCAGGACCTCGGCTGGAGTCTGGCTTTTTATGGCGAGGAAGCCGCCTGGGCAGGGCCTCTGGCGACGCTTTCCTGTCGTGCCACTTTCCAGGCCGTGCGCTGACCGAGGCCCGGCCCCGCGGTTCGGGCCGCGCGGGAGCTCGCGCCGCCCCTGTGTCACCGGACACTCACCGCGGGTCACCGCGCGCCTCCCGGGCAGCCCGTGGGCCCACGGCGGCGCTCGGCTCCCTGGGAACGGCACGCGGGGCGTTCTCGCCGGCCAGCGTGCCCTGCGTGGCCAACAAGATGGAAACTCGAGCGCGCTGCTACCGCTTGGCGCCTGCGGTCCCGGGCGCCGGGCGCATCCCTGCGCCGAAGAAGACAGTTTTCGTTTCTCCTCTCTCCGAAGCTTTTAAGAAATCCACCCTGCACTGCAGCATGCTCCCCACCGGGCCGCTGCGCGCTCTACCATGAAAGAGCCGCACAGCCCGGCCCAGTGACCTGCTTTCCTCCTGAAGGAACGAAGAGGCCTTTAGGAGTGAATGGCGCTAAATGTGTTGGTTTTCGTGCTTTTGCCCTGGACTAGGTAATGGGGAGGGAATGTGCGCGGTGGACACACACACACACACACACACACACACACTTCATTGCAGTCCTCCCCAAAGCCCTCTAGCAAACCCCTCATCCCCACAAGGCCCAGCCTGGACCCACACCAATATCCCTACCCTACTAGACCCAAGGAGGGAAGCGCCTCTGACGAACCTTGGCCTCCACCTCTGCGCACTTGCTGGGCTCACCGGTCAGACCCTGGTGCCCACCCAAGTGGCCTTGGTGACTTGGGGCAAAGGAGCAGCCCACCCAGCGCATCCTGGGAGTGACCCGCAGGGGCAGCCGGCAGGAGGTGTAGGAGCAGGAAGGTGGTCCAGGGAGGAGGACCCTACTGGGCAGGGGACCTGGGGCAGTGCCACCGAGGAGGCTCCCAGAGCTCAGCACCCTCCATCAACAGCACAGGCCCTAGAAGCAAGGAAATGCCAGAACCTACTGCATCCCTGTAATATACTCAATGTGCTACAAATTTAAAATCAGTGAGGGAAAAAATCAAGTAAACAACAAAAATGTAATACAAAACAGAGTTCCTTTGGAACCAAGGTAAGATGCAAGGGAGGGAGGCAGCAGAGGTCTTGAGAGCAGCCCATGCTCTGTCTCATTTCGGCTTCCAATAAGACGGACATGGTACATTTTGCCCAATTTTCCACTCCTAATCGCGTTGAGCATGTTGGTGGAGAAGCAGCCTTCTTTCCCTGAGCAAGTTTGGGAGCTGGAATTCATTTAATTGAGCAGCGTTCCTTCCCCAACCTGGAACCTGCCAGCGCTGCGCATTTGTGACCCCAGATCTGTTCCAGGCTCAGGCGAGCCTGGAGTCGCTTCTGCAGCCATCTCGTACCCAGCAGGTCCAGCAGAGTGAGCCTCAAGGCCACCAGAGATGGCATGGGCTGGGACTGGGGACATCTGGAAGACACTCTAAAGCCCGAGACCTGCTACGAGAAGGAAGGAGGGTGGAGGAAGACAGTGACAAAGGGACGGAGGAGCAGAGACAGTGACAGGCCGGGTGGCTGTGTTAGCCCTTGCTCAAAAGGAGGGAGCTGGAATGCAGGGGGTGGGGACCGGCCCAGCAAGGTCGCACTGTGAAGACAGCCATGGCAAGGAAGGTCTCCTGTGTCGGTGGGAGCCAGAGCACCCATCCAGGAGCCCTCTGCGCAAAACTGTCTTTGCTATAGATATGGCAAGAGCGCTCCCAGACACTTTCTGCAGCTGGCACTGGGATGGTGGCACATCCTCCCGGCTGCCCAGAGGCCGCTGTGCGCGTAAACTGTGCTTCCCTGGCTGGGAGCCCCTTTAGCTTCTGACCTCTCGGCCGGCCTGCCCATAGCTCTCCCCTGCCCAGTGAGCTGCCTCTGGTCCCTTCCCTGGCCATACCCAGGCTTTCCGTTCAGCTGGGAGCGACTACCCACAGCAAGCCACATTCTGTCCTGCCTGGCCAGCTTTATTGCTTGGACACCATCAATCTCGCCCCTAACTCGACATTTGTTTATGGGAGGGTGGGACAGGCGAAGGCTCCGGGAACCAGCAATGACACGAACGGAGAGCAGTCAGCAGAGAAGGCCCTGAAACAGGCAGGACCTGGGGCCAGGGGACTCAAAGGCAAACGGCACCCCTCTCCAGACGGAAGATGTGGGACCGAGCCACAGGGACACTGGCTCAGCAGCTGGCCATACCTCAGGCACCACTGGCAGACCCAGAAGACACCACAAATGCCAACATGAGTCCCAGAGGCCTCGCCGATCACCCACGCGCCCCGAGGGCTGTGTGGCCAGGCCACCTGACCGGCACCGTTCAGGGCCCCTTGGCATTTCCACCAACAAGAACAAAACAAATGGTCCTCACCTTAAAACGGACGCTGCCCCAAGTGGACAGGGCACAGGGGGAGGCAAAAAGTGCCAAGCCCTTGCCCAGCTGGGCACAGTGAGGGGAGCCGGAGGGCCTGGAGGGCTCTTGGTCCCTGACCCCTGTCTGTGACCCAGCAGGAAGCAGCCAGAAGCTCACAGGCGACCAGGACAATCGAGCCTTATTCCTCTGCAAACATCGATTATTAGTGACACCAGCTGTGCTCAATGATAAATCGTAAAGTGCATGCTTGCTCGCCTGCAGCCTGGCGAGAAAGGCCCGCTAACAACATAACCCTGGAAAACAGCACGCGTTCCCGCCACGCCTGAAACCTGCCAAATGCAAGATCCTGTGTGGCACGCATCACGCGGCATCGCCAGCTCCTGGGATAGATTGCTCCACACGGGATAAATGCCGATTATCCTACTGCGCTCTGCGGAGGCAACTGACAAGACCTGTCCCTCCACCACGAGTCCCCCAGCCCGCCACAGGCTCCTCTCACCGTCCTAGCAGCTCACATATCAAGGAGTTTGTCTTAGAATAGTTTACAGAAAAAGTATCCTTCTTGCTAATAAAAAAAAAGCATAAACCAAATTGCAAACCGCTAAAGAATAAGTAATTCCAAGTGAAATAGAGTTGGCAAGGCTTGCTTTTTCTTAAATTGGATTTGAGAACCCAAGAGCAACTGTATTGATAGCAAATATTACACATACGTGCTTTTTAAACATCAGAATAGTCTCTCCTTCTACTCAAACACAGCCTCCGACCTGTTCAGAAGCAGCTAGAGGTGTGTGACGCAAACCCCCTCCCAGGTGCACTTGTCTTCTATGCCTAATTTTTCAAATTTTAAAATGGAAGAGGGTAAAACGCTAGGAAGTAGACCTCAGGCGTGCATGGAAGCATCCCAGAGCTGCGACAGGGGCCGCAGCACGGCTCTCACACCGCGTTCCTTCTGGGCTGCGGGACTGGAGGGTCCCAGCCGGGAACCAGCGGTCCCAGTCCTGGCCACGAACCCGCAGCCCACCCCAGGGAGCGGCGCGGCAGAGCAGGTCCTCACCAGGCTCCCGGGGCCCCGCCGGCCTCAGGCCGGGGCTGTCGGTGACTGCGTGCCCTCGGGCCACCAAGCCGAGGTTGCGAGCACGCCCGCCGCGCGCCCAGGAGGCCTAGTGCGCGCTGGCGCGTCAGCCTGGCCGACCTCACG